AGAGCGTCATTGTAAGACTCCCACTGACCCACACTCTCTTACTGTTTGTTTGTTGTTATTGTTCATGCTAATTAGCTCTAATCTCTCTCTCTCTCTCTCTCTCTCTCTCTTTCCCTTTTTTTCTCCTTCTCCCTTTCCCAGTGTGATATGTAATTCCTACAGCCTGTCTCAGATTGTGTGTGTGTGTGTGTATGTAAGGGTGATAGAACACAATAGGACTCCATGGGGGAAGGGGTTGTGTATGTATGTGTGTGTTTGTGTGTGTACGTGTGTGTGTGTGTCAGGGTGGAGGTCTTCTCCATTCATTGTCTAGCTGTACAATGATTTGCCTCACAAGTGAACAGCCATTAATAAGGCAGCGATATGTGTAATAGCACTCCGGCGTAATTGTTCTACGAAGAGAAAAGGAAGTCGCGAGAGAGACAGGCCTCATCCCCACACCCCCCATGCCCCCCACTGGGACTCCCTCGTCATATCTCTGACACTAGGAACATGTTAACTAATAGCTAATTAAAACACATTATTAATGAATAGCCAGCGCAATGAGATATGGGAAGCGGGCTGAATTAAAACGTATCCTGCCGTCCTTGACAACGGCAACCTGAGGAATTCGTCTGGGCCACTGTGCAAGGCGGACCTTTCAGTCCGAGTAGGTGGAAAATTATTCGGAGCAGCGGTTTGGTTAAAGCCCAAGGCAGAGCACGGAAACATGTTGAATCGAGTTTGGAGGATTGGTGCTCCCAGTGTTCATGTTCTCAGGGACTTTAATTCTGCTATTGTGCTTTCGTTTTGAGCTGCAGCAGTTTCAACATCACAACATCCCGGTAATAGAAGTCCAAAAAAGCATTATAGGTATTACAGATTTGTTTTTATGTGCTTGTTTTGAACGTCTTACTTTTTTCATTGTATTTATAAGATTTATCAATGTACTGTTCTGTTACATTGTAGAGGAAATAACTGTAAAAACGCTATAGAAATAAAGATGAATAATGAATGAAAAGTAGGCCTCAGTGGACGTTCAGTAGGGTGTGAATGAACTGCCCTGACCCCCAATCCACATAGGTGCACACACTAACTCACAGGAAGTGGTTTGTAATTCTATTTCCTGTCTGTCTGTCTGTCTGTCGATCTATCCTCACTAGGTTAGATTTTAGTCACAACTCTATCTATCTATCTATCTATCTATCTATCTATCTATCTATCTATCTATCTATCTATCTATCATCTTCATTAGGTTAGATCTCAGTCAGAACTATATCTATCTATATCTATTCTGGTGACCCTTCCTAAAAATGCTCAAGACAGCACTATACTGTACACTGTTTGCACAGCCTTTTGAAAACTACAGTAAAGTTAGACATCACTGCATTTAGTGAGGTATCTGAGTACAAGACATTAAATATATATTTGTTTCACATTTTTACTGCATTTGCCCTTTGCAATTCTAATTTATTCACAGCAATTTGCGAAAGAATAAATACACCCTTATTTACAACAAACATGAACTTCCCTTGCGTAGAACTTTCCACAACTGTAAACAATAATGCAGGGCATAATGGAACTGAACCTACAACATACATAGGTCTGTAAATCATTCATCAAATTGTTCAATTTAGAAGACATATTCAGTAAAAAAATAAATAAATAAAAAAAATTCAATAAACTTAGCTTAACAGATTTTGGCAACTATCTCAACATTTTTGTATGTAATGACTCAGGTAATGAAATGAGGACTATTAGTTTTATATGTTTTGACTATTCAGCATTCACAAGTTTAGTTAATTTTGACGGACATGACATAAGCAAGTGATAATGTTATAAAACAGCAGAGTGTTTCATGAAAGCAGTTGATGCATGTTCAAAAGCATTTGTAATGTGTTGGAAAGAATGAGAAACTGCTACTAGGATGTGCACAAATGACTAATTGTTTTGAGAACTGCATGAACTGTTGTGCAAATGTAAATAGTGTCATGAAAAATGCACCAAAGCGACTGTGAAAAACTGTAAGAAAGTGAGTAAGCCCTTTAACTTGGAATCTTTAAATTAGCCTAATTTAATTTTTTGTATTTATGCAGATCATTCATTTACTTAATAATTTTAAGGCTGCAGATTTACTCAGCTTTTTAAGTCAACAAATCACTTTTTTACAGTGTATCTTTATCTTTTATTAGTCTGTTGCATTTTCATCCATCAATATACCCTGAAAGTCAATTAGAGCTGGAATGATGCATTGACAAAAAGTGTGAAGTCAACTGCATACTGTGTTTAGCATAAATGAGTACACCGTCTTTTTGAAAATGAATATTTGTATTAATTTCTCAACAATTATAGACTTTTTACAGGATTTAAAACATATATATTATACCATTATATCCATTAAACTAAGAGTGACCTTTATAATAACACTGTAAAAAATTTTAAGCCAGTTCAACAAAAAAAATCTTAGTACTAATTTCCTTCTGTTTTTTCTTGTTTACTCAACTTTTGAAAACATCAGCTACACTGACTGAAAATAATTTGTCAGTGAAACAAAAAATGTCTAGTTGAGTCAACTTAACATTAGTAGTTTTCTGGAAACCTGCACCTGCAGCACAACAAATATTTTTAAGTTGTGCAAACTGAACATTTCTTGTCTGCAGGACTGAAATGACAGAAGTTGAGTGAACAAGAAAATACAAAAGGAAATTAGTACTAAGAAATTATATGTTACCAGAGCAAAAGTTGTGTTAACTGAACATTTCTTGTCTGGATGGCCTGAAATGACAGAAGTTGAGTGAACAAGAAAATACAAAAGGAAATTAGTACTAAGAAATTATATGTTACCAGAGCAAAAGTTGTGTTAACTGAACATTTCTTGTCTGGATGGCCAAAAATGACAGAAGTTGAGAGAACAAGAAAATACAAAAGGAAATTAGTACTAAGAAATTATATGTTATCCGAGCAAACACACATGGCTCTGTTTTTTTAAGTTCTGCTGACTGAACATTTCTTGTCTGAATGGTCTGAAACTACAGAAGTTAAATGAACCAAAAAAATACAATTGGAAATTAGTACTAATAAATAAAATGTTATCGGAGTAAACACACATGGCAAAAAAAGACATACATTTTACCAAAACATTCATTTTCTTGCGGTTCTTCACTAAAGTACAAAAACGAGGTAGTGTATATGTAAAAAAAAACAAAAAAAAAAAAAACACAAACACTAAGTCAAATTAATGACATGAAAAGGAAACACAATTATATTAAATATATAACAATTACAGCACATCTCTGAGACTACCTAACACTATCAATTTTAATAACCTTAGAATATCCCATAAATTATTCACAACACCCTGCTGAAAAAACAGCGTAAGCTGGTAAGGTATGTTTTGATGCTGGTCTCAATGCTGGTTTTGCTTGTCTCAATGCTGGTCTTGCTGGTTTCAGTGCTGGTTTTGCTGGTCTAAGTGCTGCTCCTGACCAGCATTGAGACCAGCAAGACCAACATTGAAACCAGCATTAGGACCAGCATTGAGACCAGCAAAACCAACATTAAGACCAGCAAAACCAGCATTAAAACAAGCAAGACCAGCATACCAGCATCAAAAGATATACCTTCCCAGCATATGCTGTTTTTTTTTTTTGTTTTTTTTCAGCAGGGCAATTAGAGCAATCAATCTGAATTACTAGTTGCCTTGAGATATAAATCTTAGTATTTGTTGTAATTCATTTCAAAATCTATACTTGCATAATTACATGTTTTGTGCTGGTACCTTGGCTGGTCATGGATAAATATGATATTAAAACTGCCAGTAAAGGATCTTACTTTAGTAATAAGTGTTCCACTGTATACACCTTCAGTTCAAAATGAACGATTTATTACTATTATTTTGGTTTTGATTTGATTTTGTTTGCTTAATATAATAATAAGCAGTTGGAATATACGCGCTGTCACTTTAAGAGCCACCCTAGATAGTAAAATACACTTGGGCCAGTTCCAGCTAGATTCGCTGCCGCATCCGAGCCAGAATCGGCCCGTGAGTAATGTGCGCTGCAGCCCGGAGCTGGCGCAACTCAATATACCTTGATATAAAACCTTTTGGTATTATATTGGTACTTGATACATGGTATTACAACCATTTGCATTTATATATCAGCAAACGCAGGCTATAATGTAAAGGCAAAGTGTAGGCACTGCGTTCAACCTTTGAATAAAATGCAAACAGCATACATATCCAATAACAAAAATTATCAAACAAAGGACAAAATAAATAATAATAAACATTTATTGATTGCAATAAACAAATAATACTAAACTTGAATAAAATATTTTGTAGTGCACAAGTAATAATAAAACTACACAATAAAGACACACAGGAAGATTTAAAGACAAAATCTAAAATTGCACACATACACAGAAGTTTTTAAAACAACCCTGTTTTCCCAATAGACTTGAATTAAAAAATTGTACATGACACATCTTAAAACAGCTTAATTTTATATAAACCTGAATATAGAAACCAATTTAAGATATAGCAAGAAACATCTTACAAATACCCATGACAATATGTAAAATATACAAGTCAAAAATGTAAAAAGAACTGCAGAATTCTTAAGAAACATTTTTAATAAATGTAATAAATAAAACATAATAATACATTTAAATGAGTGAGATGATTATATATATATATATATATATATATATATATATATATATAAATATATATATATATAAATATATATAAATATATATATATATATAAATATATATATATATATATATATATATATATATATATATATATATATATATATATATAATTTGACTTGTATATCTTTATATGTCTTGTGCAATTTGTTATTAATATTTTTATTATATTATGTTAATTAAAAATGTATTAAGATGCTTTTTCAGAATTTAGCATATTGTCATTTTATATATATATATATATATATATATATATATATATATATATATATATATATATATAAATTGCAAATAAAAGAAACAAATTACCCAAGTATCAGGGAACATCTTAATACACTTAAAATGTTGTTTAAAAAATAAATTATTGATGTAGACATTTGACACATTAGCTTTCTCTTCTTCCCTCCTTCCTCCAGCCCTGTCAGGAGCACGTTGTAGCCACCTTGTAATGCATTTTTCCACTTCTTTATCAGTGATGTGGTATGGACATTTCTCCTCACTACATCTGTGATTAAAAGATAAACAAACAATTAGTAGTGAAAAAGTACAAATGAAAAAAGAAAGATGCTTGCTCTCATATAAGTACAACCTAAATGGGACTATATATAGATGTTTTGTTCCTTTGATTAATGATTCAAAGAAATACACAGATGGAACTGCCCCTAATTGTACTGAAATGTATATTTAAAACCAACTTACTGACTAGACAGTCGTAAGGGAGAGTGCATGAAAGGCCACATTTTGGTTTGCCCTGCTCCAGTTAATTTGTTCAGCCAAAAAGTGAGCCAAAAGCTTTCCCGGGACACACCAAACTGCTTAGTGGAAAACACCAATGATTCCAAAGTAGGCTACCTACGAAGCAAAAAAACACATAAATAAATAAATAAACATAAAACACTTAGAAATAAGCAAGAAACTTACCAGTTTCTTCATTTGTTCGGGCTGCTCGTTTAGTTGATTTTCAAGTTTTTCCAAATCAAATTGGACAAAGAAAGGTCAAATGTGTTTACATCTGGAATTTCATCACGTCTGTTTTGGTTTTGCTGATTTGTGAGAATCAGGCACAGTTGCTGCTTTATGACGTCACATGATTTTAAAACTTTTTTTCAGTCGTGCTAAAAAAGAAAAATAACAAATTAGTATAAATCAACCTGTTGCTTATTCTCATGCAACTTGTGTAAATACAACAGTGGGTTAGACACTGCTGATATTCTCTAGTTGATCTTTACTTTCTAGCTGCATTAAGCCATTACAAATTTAGTGATGTCTTGAATTCTTACAAAGACATGACGAGTTGCAATAAGTTGTCTTGATCTCCGACTGCACTTGAACAAGGACTGTAAATGTTCATAGGTGTACTGGAATGTACAGCATCTGTGCATCTTGATGGTGTTCTTAAGGATCCTGCCATAGTCATTGGTGGTGATGGTACTTGCGGTGCTGCATCAATTTCTGAAATCTTCATATCAGTTTTTTCTCCAGCCTCTTTGTTCCAAATAATTTTTCTTCATCACGTTCACTATAGTTGTGTCTTTAATGCCCCTTGATCAGATACATTTACAAAACAAAACATTATTTTAGTATAGTGCAGGACACTAGATCAATGACAATGGCAGTGTAATAGATCAATGACATAATGTTGACAGTATGTGTTTAAAATAATTGCAAACAAACCTGTTCTTTCTTTAGGTGTATGACGGGCAATCACCGTCCTCATCTGTCTGCAAGCCAAGCTGAGTCGAGCTTCCTCATGTGTGTCTATAATAAAACATCACATTGTTGTTAACCTCCCCCCAAAAAGTTAAAATCCTGAAATACTATCAAAGTTAATTAATGGCTATAATACCTATGGTGTAAATAATCAGCACACAGGATTTATTCAGAGATTCATGCAGAGTGACAGCCTTATGAATCTTAGACATAGATTTGTAAGATGGCCAAGCACATGCATTATTCTGTACCCATGAAGATTAACCTACCATTGTGGAAAATGTTTGATGATGATGATAGCCAATAACAATAAACCATTTCAGCTGTTTGTGAAGCAATTAGTAATGTAAAGTCTGAAAAGCTCAATCTATGTTGAAAATGTATCAGCAGTTTACAGCTTATAATGGACTTTAATCACCCAACTATAACATGCCTATTCACATGTTCATAAGAATGTGCTATTGGTCTCTGTGATGTGCTACAAAATGACCTCACTAACCTTTGTTAAACAAGAACAGTAAGACTTAACCAAAAAAATATTCATTTATACCCATTCATTTAAATCAGAAAGTATAACTGTCAATAACCAAAAAATAAAACCCATCAAAATCTGCTTTAAGAAATTTAGTTTTACATGCGCAAACTACAACTTGAACATAAGATATAATTGATTCACATAGGCTAACACATATAAATTAAAGCACATACTAATATATTTCTCTTAATAATAGAATGATAATTTAAAGAGAACAGTAAACGATCACTGATGCACTGCATAAACAAGTTAAACAATAACTTAACAATAACCTAACACTGTGAAAATGTTTTAAGCATTAAATTCGCAAAGTATACAGTATACAAGCAGCAAAAACCTTACCTTTCTGACCGGAATCCACTGTTTTGAAACGCCAAACTTCTTTTTCTTCTTGTGATCATCATAGCGGTTGGCAACCAGCTTTTGGAACATTACCGCCACCGTCTGGATTGGAGTTTGGACCAAGAGTTGACTCACGCATGTGTTTCTTATGAAACCAAACTTCTGCTTAAAAAAACAGTCTGCATGGAAGCGTGCTATCTCGAAAATAAGCGCATTTTACACTGTTTTCCCTAGATGATATATATAATCCATTTATAAATAATATTGTTTTGTTTGCATCTAAACATTGCGACCATCCACACTAAATGTTTTTATTATTTTGTTGCTGTTGTACCATATATATTTTCTCAAATTATCATTAAACGTGGAGCTAACAAATTACTAGATAAAATAAGAATTTAATCGGTTGTCATCAGTTACACAAGCCGAGTCCTTATACGAGCCGAGACAGACTCGGGCCAGATAGGGTTAACAGGAATCTGGCCAGTGTTTACAGCTGCATCACAAACGCATGTGCGCGAGCGAGCTGCGGGCCACACTCCGCCCGTATAACACTCGTTGATGCCGAGTCGGAGCCGGAGGCGCCGAAGGGCAGCCGAGCTCGGGCCGATTACTTCCTGCTACCCGGGGCATGGATATGATTTACGGCAACACAAATATTCATTCACTCTTATCACATAACAAAGAGAGATTATGTGAATAATCACTAAGCGCCGCATCTGCACACATTTTTGCGCGTATATGATGAACATTTAGGAGGACAAATTTAGATGAAGTGTCTTACACAAAGAACTACAATCTTTGCACACTTACTATTAAGATTGCTCTTCCACGGCTTGCCTCTTTCCCCACCGAAGTACAATGCTTCCAGTTTCTCCCGCCTGAGACGTTGACGTTACGTAAGCGCAACCATCGTAACGAGGGCGTGGTTTAGCTCAAGACAGAATGATGCTATATCGTCCTTTGAGAAACATAATTTTGAGTGCGTGGTTTATTTTTAAATATTGGAATATCAAAGTATGCCTTTCTTTTTTTAAAGGGTAATGAATAAACACGAGATGATAATGTGCGTGCAAGCTTATTTCTGCAAATGTGCACCAAATAAAGTTAAATTGCAAATGAAAAGTTTCAAATAAAGTTACTATAAGTATTGTAGTGTTTTTTGTTGTTTTTAATAACAATGTGAAGAATAACGATATTTATTATTGTATTAATAATAATAATAATAATAATAATAGCATTTTTACTCAGCATTTACTTTTTACTACAAACCATGAAAGGTTCTATACTCATTCATTCATTTTCTTGTTGGCTTAGTCCCTTTATTAATCTGGGGTCGCCACAGCGGAATGAACCGCCAACTTATCCAGCAGGTTTTTACGCAGCGGATGCCCTTCCAGCCCCAACCCATCTCTGGGAAAAGGTTCTATACTGCCATTGATAATTTTTTTAGAATATTTAACATGTTTGAAACCTTTTCAATCAACAAAAGGTTATGCTACTTGTATATTCATTGCATTAAAAAAGTCAGAGATTGACTTAACACAAAAAAACAAGTTGGCAGATGCTTTTTTGAATGAACTAGCAAAGTGTTGCTCACAAAACTCATCTTTTTAACTTAATGAATAAAATCTTTGTTTAAGTTGATTGAATGTGTTAAATGTAGTTGTACAGACTTTTTTACAGATTTTTGCTGAACCAACAAAAAAAATCAAGCAATTTCAACATTTGTCAAGTTGGATTTTTTACAGTGAAGAGTTAATAAGAGAGATCATTAGGAATGGAAAGATAGTATTTCAAGAAAAAATACAAACAACAGAATTAAAACTACTTTTACAGTTGAAGTCAGCATTCTTAGCCTCCCTTTGAATGTTTTTCTTGTTTTAAATATTTTCCAAATTATGCTTAACAGAGCATGGAAATTGTTACAGTATGTCTGATATTTTTTATTCTAGAAAAGGTCTTTTTTGATTTATTTAGGCTAGAATAAAAGCAGTTTTTATTTTTAAAAATATTTTAATTTCAAAATTATCAGCCCCTTTAAGCTATATATGTGTTTCTATAGTCTACAGAACAAACCATCCTCATACAATAACTTGCCTAATCAACCTATCCTGACTATTTAACATAATTAATCTAGTTAAGCCTTTAAATGTCACTTCTAACTGTATAGAAGTGTCTTGAAAAATATCTAGTAAAATAGTGTTTAATAACATCATGGCAAAGATAAAGTAAGTCTAAATTAAAATTTATATGTTTAGTAATGTGCAGAAAAATCTCTCCATTTAACAGAAATTAGGGAAAAAATATACAGCGGGACTAATAATTCAGGGAGGTTAATAATTCTCACTTCAACTATATATTCTTTATGTTTATCTTGATTGATTTCTAAGTTGCTGTTGTTGTTTAGATTAATCATTCATTAATTAATTTTCTTTTCGGCTTGGTCCCTTTATTAATCCCTGGTTGCCACAGCGGAATGAACTGCCAACTTATCCAGCACATGTTTTAGGCAGCGGATACCCTTCCAGCTGCAACCCATCACTGGAAAACATCTATACACACACATTCACACTCATACACTACAGACAATTTAGCCTGCCCAATTCACCTGTAGGCTACCACATGTTTTTGGACTGTGGGGGAAACCAGGGCACCAGGAGGATACCCATGCAAATGCAGGGAGAACATGCCAACTCCACACAGAAACACCAACTGGCCCAGCCGAGGCTCAAACCAGCGACCTTCTTGCTGTGAGGTGACAGCACTACCTACTGTGCCACCGCGTCGCCTGTTTTTTTATTTATTTTCATAAATATAATATTGTGGAGCATCCTGTTGAAGCTAATTTGGTAACACTTTATAACAACTACCCACTATGTATCAATTGCTAAGCCTTAACATCTAGTCAATTAATTATTTGTTTAGCATTAACTCTACATTAATAAGCGTTAGTAAGCAGTTTATAACTGCAGCTACAAATACTGTATTCTTGACCTACAACCACATGTATAATGTGCTTAATAATTGTACTTTTATACTTTGTTAATTATTTATTTTTAATTACTAATTAAGTATTGCATTATTTACAAACTATTTGTATTTAAGAGTAGTTGATGGTTTTTAAGATAATTCAGAATGAGTTAGCAAATGATTCATAAACTATTGAATTCAACGTTTTTAATTATTATTATTCAGGCATATAGTAATGGTTACTATGTATGATAATAAATGCTTTATTAACTCAATTTCTTGCAGTTATGTGATCTAATCTAAAGTGAGGCCTATGTATGCTTCATAAATCCCAAATGACAATTAAAAGCTTGGTATCAAATGAACAACAAGCTTTGCAATCTTATCTAAAAAGTAAAACTATTGTAAAGTTTATGCATTGCTGAATAACAGGTGTGTCAAAATACAACATACAATTAGATAAAACAACAGCAATATAATAACTTAACAATATAATAAGATGCAATGTTTAAACTGTACATTAATTTTATTTAAAAAACGGTTGCAAAGATTTATTTTTCATTCGGAGTACAGTTTAATTTGTGTATCTTCAAATAAATATGAATTAATAATCTCGTTTATGTTCTTTTTTTCCTATTTAGAATTTAACTGACCTTTATTTGTCATTAATAAGGGATTTATAAAGCATAAATAACCCTCACTTTAGATTAGGTCACAAAAGTGGATGAATGTGAGTTAATAAAACCTTTATTAACATACAAATTAATTATTAGTATGACTGAATAATAAAAATTATAAATGTTAATTTTAATTGTTTATTAACTCATTCTGAATGATCTTAAAAACAACCAACTATGCTTAAACAACTGGTTTGTAATAACGAAATACTTAATTTAGTAATGAAAAATAAATCATTAACAACGCATGAAAACACAATTATTAAGCACATTATACATGTGCTTTTAAGTAAAAAATACAGCATTTGTAGCTGCATAAACTGCTTACTAACATTTATTAATGTATAACACTATTTGTTAATGCTTCATAAATGGTTCATAGTGTGTAGTTATTATAAAGTGTTACCGATAATTTAAAAGAGAGATCTGTGAGGGGTGTACTCATTTATACTGAGCACTGTAAATCTGTGAATCTTCCATAATTTTGAATGAACCCTACTTGGGCTACTTGTCATGTTAATAATCAGGCATTATAAATCACACATCCTAAAATTCTCTAAAATTATAAAAAGAATAACATTTTGGGCAATTTTCATTTTTCATTTTCAAAACATTTGATTCTAAATAAATTAGGGATTGAACAACTCGTTCAATAAATGATTCAGTGAATCACTCATTATGACAGAAACGTGCTTCCACCAACCTGTGGTTTTAGTAGCAACTTGGGCCGTAGCCCTATGGAAACGTAGCCCTATGTACATTTCTGGAGATCGCGAATTATGTAGCCAGAGGAAGTATAGCAGCATTTCGTCTTTAAAACTGATGATACAGTGCGGTATGACACCATTCCTTTTTACGCTTAGCTGAACGCTTCCCTCTGCATGGACGGTGGATGTCAGCAGACTTGAGATGCAGAGCTGAGATGACTGTGACTAAGTCCAGTAAAGAACGGTTCCAGAAAGCAGGTAAAACCAAAACAAAAGGCAAAAAATTAAATAAACAAGTAAATAACAGTGTGAGAATGTGGTAAAATCTGAAAATGTGGTAAACATCTGGCTGTCACAAGGCCTTTTCTTTTTATGGATTGCTTTTTAAAACACTATCGGTTGGATTTAGGAAGAGGAGGAGGGTGGGTCAGTCGATTGTTCAGTCAGTCAGTCAGCAGCACCCTCTGGTGGATTTATTAAAGAAGAGCAGGTGCAAATGGCACCCGCGAGAGAAACTTGAGATCTCGAAAAGCATACACAGCGGCCTCTGGCACATTCGTGAAAACAAAATCTGCAAAAAAAAAAAAACGCAGTTCCTAGAGGATGTATTTTTCTCAAAGTCCAGTATTGCTTCAGCATTGTATATAGGGGTACGTAATCACAATGAGCCTGGGTTGTTTTAGTTATTTATTATTTATTTATCCATGACAGAATCAACTAATTCAGTTTAAACTCAATAAAACGTTGAAAAATTATGAGTAAAAGATGAAGAATCGTAGTTCAAAGAAGAATCAGCTAAATCAATAGAAGGAAATACTCTATACTTACCAAGCAAATAAAAAGCATACTGTGAATTATATGATTGGTCTTATATTGTTTATGGACTTGTTTACATTATTTTTATGTTGTATTTTTATTTGTAATTTGCTTATCTGAGAAAATGTTTAAATTACTTTCATATTAACTGCAGAGGAAACAGCTACTGTTTATTGAGCAAATAAAAAAAAGATTAATCATCTAGTACAAAAACTAAATAAATAAATTGTTAAGAAGTCAATTAATTAGATAGATTGAAAATTAAAAAGTAGCTGTAGCTTTACAATTGACCAAAAATAATTGAACAGTTTTAAAAAATGCATTATTTTGTTGCACAATTTTACTGTTAAACAGCATAGATGATCAGATAGATAGACAGACAGACAGACAGACAGACAGACAGACAGACAGACAGACAGACAGACAGACAGACAGACAGATAGATAGATAGATAGATAGATAGATAGATAGATAGATAGATAGATAGATAGATAGATAGATAGATAGATACTACATTTATTGACCATTGCACTTATGGCTGTGAGTGTGTGTTTGGTGTTTGTAGTTGACCGTTGAAGCCTGTCTGTGTGGAAGTGCTGGTCTGTGGCACTGAGACGAGAA